AGGGGAGGGAGTTGAAGGCGTTGGATATGTCCAACGACACGGCCAACATCACCCCCCCCCAGGCCAGCGTCGCCTCTTCAGAGAGGGCCTGGACACGCTTAATAGCGTCGATGGTAGACAGGCCCTCTCTGAACCCATATTGGGCCCCGCTGATATCGGGGCCCGTTTGGGACAGGTGCTGGACGAGGCGGTTTACGAGTATGCGCTCGAACGATTTACCTACTTCGTCCAGAAGGCATATAGGCCTATACGCCGACGGGAGAGAGGCGTCTTTCCCCTCCTTCGGGAGGAGTACCAACGTGGCACTCCTCCACCGCGGGGGGAAGACACCTCTTCTCATACACGCGCTATAGGCGCGCGCGTATTGCTCCGCGAGGACGTCCATGGCCAGGGCGTGGACACGCTTGGGAAGGCCGTCAGGACCCGGGGCTGTATTGCCCCTAAGGCCCTTCCTGACGGCCCTCCGGAGCTCCTCCGGCTGGACGTCCAGGGAGTCGCCCCAGTCGGGGGAGTCTTCCCCCGACTCGAAGGATGGCCCCTCCTCCTCCCTGGTAATGTCGGGGAAGAGGGCCTGCACTACCCTCCGGACGAATCCCACGTCCAGCCGCTCCGTCAGCGGGGGCGCCCATGGTCTCAACTTATTGAGAACCATTTTGTATGGGCGCCCCCACGGATCCTCCTGTAGGGAGTCGAGGAACTCCGTCCACGCCCTGCCCTTTGCCACCCTGATGGCCCGCCTGAGGGCTACCTTGGCCTCAAGGTAGCCCTCCCTGGCTTGTTCGGCCGCCTGTTCGCCTCTGCGCCTGCAGCGGACGAGTCTCCTCTGCTGGTGGACGGCTCGTCGACGCAAGTCGGCGATTTCTGCCGTCCACCAGTAGACGGCCCGCTGAGGCCGAGCCTTGGATCGGGGCATCGCGGCGTTGCACGCCGCGGTGAGCGTTGCCCCTATCCACTCGGCCTCCTGCAGGGGGTCCGTCTCCCGGATCCCGGGGAAACTTCCCCGGACCCAACAGGCGGCCTCAATCGAGGCCATCAGGTCGTCCTCGCAGAGCTTCCGGAGGGCCCATCGCGGTCGCGTCTCCTCTTGGCGACGCACGGAGGAGAGGACGCCGAGCTCCACCGTTATATATCGGTGATCCGATAGAGTCTCGACGCCCCGCTCCACCTTCCACCCGGTAATCAAGCGCGCGGCCGAGGGGGTAGCCCATGTGAGGTCCACAATGGACTCCCCCTGCGTCCGCACGCAGGTGGAGGTCTGGCCCTCGTTCACGAGGACCAGCCCGTGCATCGCCGCCCACTCGTCCAGGGCCTTACCCCTCCCGTTCGTGTGCCGGGAACCCCACTTCGTGTGCCACGAGTTGAAGTCCCCGACCACGAGGACCGGCCTCGGACTCAGGCGTACGAGCGCCTGCCCGATGTCCGAGAGCCAGCCCTCAAAGGGGGGGAGGCGCCTGGTGGGCCTCAAATAGACCCCAACGACCGCGATGGGCCCCCATTGAACGGCCATATGCCGTTCCCCTTTTTCGATGGCGGCCGTATCGGGACCACCCGGCACCGACCGCCACCGAATCGCGACCGAGTCCCCCGCCCGTCCGTTATCGACAGCCCAATATGGGCTGTCTCTCGGGGGGCGGTGGGGCTCGGACACGATCGCCAGCGTGAAACCACTCTCCACCACGCTTTGTTGGAGCAAATCTTGCGCCTGTGGAGAGTGGTTCACATTGGCCTGGATAAGGCCAAATCCTTATAAGTTCGGACGGAGGGGAGAGCGAGGCATTACTCTGCCTTATTATCCCCCCCGTCCGATAGGGCCTCGACCTCCATGGCCTCTGATGGAGGTGAGGCCCTCTTTCCTATCGCCTCGCTATGTTGGCGCTGCGGTCGGGGCTCCTGCACCGAGCCACCTGCTTCCTCCCTCCCCTCCTCCGTCGGCCGCACTTCGGCCGGGGGGGAGCGCCGGGGGCAGCCGCCTGCTCCATGGCGCGCTGCCCCGGCGGTCTCCCGCGCACGTTCCGCTGGGCGCATGACTTCGCGCCCAGCACGTGCGTCGCCGGCCTGCCCTTGTCCGCGCAAAGCGGGCACTTTGGGGCGGACCGGCAGTCGCGGAAGGTGTGACCGGCTTCACCGCACCGGTAACACCTCCCGCTCCTATCGACCGCACTAGGGCAGGTCGACCTCACGTGGCCCCTCTCGAGGCATTTGTGGCACCTCATGGGGCGCGCCTCAAGAGGGTCCACGCGGGCCACCCCCCAGCCGACCCGGATCCTTCCCGTCCGGGTCAGCTCTCTCGCTGCGGTGAGGGGCAGGCGCACCCAGAGGCTATGGCTGCCCCCGGCGGCCGGCTGCAGTGCCCCGCACTGCACGTCGGAGGCGCCACAGCACCCGGCCTCCGCGACCCACCCCTTCACCTCCTCAACGTCCAAGGAGGAGTCAAGGTCGCGCACGCGCACCTCGGCCATCCTCCTTGGACGATCCACACGCGTGCCCTCCTCCCCGAGGAAGACACGCGTGACGCAACCCGCGAGGGCGTCCGCCTTTTCGGCGTGGCCCTCGCCGGACACCTCTATTATCTTGGCACCGGTGGCCGCGGATCTAACGTTGACCCGGTCCCCGATGCCAAGTTCTTCCAGGCTGATCTCCCGCCGCAGTCTGGCCATGGCCTCACGGTAGTCCCCGTTGGGACGCGTGAGGACCACGGCCAACGTGCGCGGGAGCCTCCGCCTAGGGGCCTTTTTAGGCGCTGCGCCGGCTTGCCCCTTCACCGGGGGGCCGGAGGCAGCCGCCTTAGGGGCTCCCTTAGCCGCTTTCTTTTCTGCGGCTCTCGCTCTCCTCCCCAACACCGTCGCGTAATTCTCGACGTCCGCGGCGGGTTGGGGGAGGCCGCCGTTCCCCTTCTTCGGGGGATCCGCCTCCCTCACCTCTTGCGCCTGCTGCTGGGGGGGGCCTTTCCCTTCTTCTTCTTCTTCTTCTTCTTCTTCCCGGCTCCTCCAGCAGCATTCGCGTCCCTCTTCGGGAGGTTTATCCCCTTGGATCCGCTCCCCCGGTCGGCCCCGGGAACCGGGCGGCCCCTCGCCGCGCCCCCTCCCCCCTTTCGAGGGTCGGAGGGGTCCGCTGCAGGGCCGCTGTCACGGGCCCCGCCGCCGACCACAGCCCGGAACATCCCCTCCATCCTCTGGAGGATCTCCCTTTGGGACCGATCCACGGCCTCCTGAATCCTCCTCTCCACCATCTCCCCCGTGAGCTCTCCTGCTTTCACTAGCAGGGGCTTCCCCGTTTTCTTCGGGGCCTGGGGGGATGGTAGAGAGGGGTTCTTCGCCAGGCTTTGAAGGGGATCGGTCCTCTTCCTGGAAGAGGACCTCTCCTTCCCCCTTGTCCGCGATCTCCCTCTCCCCGGCCTTGGGACCCGGGAGGTGCCCGCCTTCGGCGTGACCACCTCCCAGGTCTTTTTCTCCGGGGGCGGGGGGTCGGCTACTTTCCCGGGGGGAGGGGGATCTAGTGGTAGCCCAGCATCGGCCACCTCCATCATCTCCTCCTCCCGGGTGTCCTCCCCAGTAGGGTTGGCATCCCTCTCAGTCCGCGGCAGCCCGGGGGGTGGCATCATCCCCCGGTCTCTCTCCTCCTTTTCTTTTTGAAGGGCCGCGACTTGCACCTTGAGGGTCGCAAGTTCCCCTCTCAGCGCCTCCTCCCCTTCGCTTGTCCCACCTCTCATCCTCATAGACAAGGCATCTATGGCGACCCTAGTGAAAAGGGCCCCATCCCTTATTTAGCCTGCAAGTGCACCTTTCAGGTTCTTGCTGACCGCCGCCGCATGGTCGATCATGCTGGCGTGCTCCAGCACTTGCGCCACAATATCGCGGGTGGGGAGTTGGGGGATCTGTTCCTCCAACTCCCTCATCCTCTTTTGTCTCGCGGCTTTATATTGGAGGACCTTCCCTACGTCGCGGGCTTGCCTCTTCAACTCGTTGAGGTCCTTATTGGCCTTCTTGCGAGCATTGATCGCGACGCCCTCTCCCATTTTAAGGGGGCTAGACAGGGTGACACATGTTTTTGGAGCCGATTTTCGTGATTTTTTTTTCAATAAAGTAACAAAGTTAAAACATATTTGACTTTCGATTTTTATTTTACATACTTTGAAATGTTTAGAAACATTTTTTATTGCTAAAAAAGTTGCTCCTCGAGACCGCTGCACCACGTCCAATAAAGGCCTGCGCGGAGTACGGGGGTGATTGGTGGGAATTCTGGCGGCCGTAATTTTACACCTTTAACAAAATTTTAAAAACTGCCTTGAAGCTGATGATATTTTCGTTGGAAGTACATACGGAAATTGAAAGAAAATGATTTTTGACAAAATGGCGGAATATTGAAAAAAGTCAATTTTTTCGACCAAAAAAATCGGCAGAAAAAGCTGCACCTAAAATCGAAATTAAAAGATATCGAAAAAATCGTATGTACTTCCATAGAAAAAACACCTACAAACAAGTTAAACCAAGTTAGAACGTAATTGCATGTAAATTGCAAGAGTTATTTGTCCCACCAATTTCAAAAATGTCGTTTTGAGAAAAACGCGTTTAAAGTTTCAACCGAGCGCTCCGGTACGCTCTGAGCGCGTCAGAACCCTTTGCAGTAAATCGCGTTTTTAACCGATTATAAAGTTTAAGGCCAACTTTATATGACTGAATATTGAAAATAGACACCCTAAGGAATATTTTAAGCCAATAAAAATATTTTGGTCAAAAAAAAATTTTCACCCTGTCTAGCCCCCTTAATGGGTCTGCCCCGGCCGTCCTTTTTCTCGGGGATGAGGTCCTCCTCCTCCCCGCTGGAGCAGCCTTGGGAGCGCGCGTACTTCGCGCCTTTCTCCCTTCGGCTGCTCCTGCTTCTCTTAGTGGCCCCCGAGTGGGACGTGTGGGACCTGACGCTAACGTCAGACCCAGTGTCCCCCTCGGGGTCCCCTTCGCGAGAGGATTCGTCGGAGCCCTCGATGGCGCTACTCGCCGCGCTCGACGTCATCGCCCCCCCCCCTCGTTGGTCTTCGGGGGGGGGGGTGAACGCTCCGTCCTCTGGACTTTAACGGCCAGGCCTTCCACCGGGTACTCCTGGCCCTGGGGATCGGA